TATTCTGTTAAATCCATTCTCCTCTTGGTTTGTCTGCATTTGGGTCTACACCGTGCACTGGCCACCGGCGGAGGACTTTTTTCTTTTGTTTGGAATGATTCCTCTTTTATCGTTTCAAGATTGAACATTTTGCATTTTTGCAAATACATGTCCAGATGTAATAAGAAAACATGGTAAGAAGTATGTTGAAGTTACGAGAAAATATCACAGGTCAATTTGGATCGAGGGATTCAGCTCCTGCATGGTGAGGATGCTAACGTTTAGTCTTGGCTAGTTTTGTAGTCTGAGGTTTATTTTGCTTCTAAGAGAATTACAGAGAAAAATTATTAGAGAGACTGATCATGCATTAGTGTTCAGCTCTTTGAATATAAAAGGAGGAGTGTGGGGAGCCATAACAAAACACCTGCAATAATACTAGTATTTTTTTTTTTTATATATAACACATTTCTTTCATGTTGTTACTGTGTGCTGATGATGGCACACAATAAGATAGGTAGCATCTACAAATCATTGGAAACTGCTAAACAAAAAAGTTTTTTTTATGGAATTTATATAACCAACACGCTACCAATTCAGCATTGTAAAGTTTTGCTTGTGTGACTGAAGTAAAATTCCTCGGCTCCAAAATACTGTTTCTTATGACTTCATCTGTGCAGCTGAGTTTATTCCTGCTTTGCTCTGAATTTCTTTACATCTTTTTTTGTGTAACTTCTCTCCATTTCTCCACCTGAACTCTGGAGCAAACTCGGGTTTCCTCTACCTCTCTCTTCCCTTTTCTGCGGATCCCACTCTCCTGTCCTCCCTTGGTTGCTAGGCAGCGGCCAGAGGAAAGTGAGACACCGAGAAGAGCTGCTGTCAGCGTCACCATGGCAACTGTGTGAGTGATTCAGGTGGAGGTCAGGGAGAATAGGCTTTTTTTTTTCAGTTTCTACCTCCACCCCTCAGTTCCTCTTTTCCTCTCTTTCTATTCTTCCTCCTTTCACGGCTTCCTTTTATTTTCTCTCCCTTTGTGCAGACTGTTTGCCTTTTTTCTCCCCCCTCCTACTTCTTTCCTCATCATCCCCCCCTCATTCCTCTGTGATGCTAATCACAGGGAGAATTAGCAAAAAGGGATAGAGGTGCATTGATCTGCACACACACGTTGATCTCTTTATAATTCATAGAGACAGGAGCGCTTAACAAATATCTAACAGGCTCTTCAGGAGACACATATGCACTCCACACGCCGGCACTCACCTCTGCGGCTTTCTCTGTTAAGCTTGGCTGGGTCTTCATAATCACCCACCCAGTTACACTCCACAGGCATGGAGATGGGCCTCAGCCTGCCTACAAGTGCACACACAATCACAAGTTTAATAGTAGCAAAGCAGATGGGTTGAACAATAAAAACTTATGGTCCTCAACCAAAAATTTGAAACTGTTGTGCAAATTTTCACACTTTCCAATTAACATTAGGCTAAATGTTGGTACACTTAAAAAAATAATAATTAAAGGACAAGATGAAGAGTTGCACTGAACTGATATTTAATGATGAATAAGGAGTTTTAACAACATTAAAGCAGCCGTAGTAATTGCAGGATTCTTGTATTTCGCCAGCTTTGTAACAAGCTCAGTCGCTCTATGCTGGGCCTGCAGGTGGATTCATACTCACATAATGATTTTAATTTTTTCTAAAGCGGCTCAATTCTGCAGCATGAGATTGAACTCGGTTCCCTCGCGCTTTGTTTCTCCCTCTCACACAAACACTCAATCATGATAAGAGCGAACCGTATGTGGGCGTGGTGCAGTACACGGGCTCCTCCTCTTCTCGCCGGCGAGACTCTTGATCCAGGAAGGAGTTCGGTGACTCAGAGCGCTTAGCAGCGCTGACGCCACCATGGTTACGAGATGCTTCATCACCAGACAAGGCTCCTGTCTCATCTCTATAGCAACAGCAGAGGCAGATTTTTAACAAATGGACGTCAGTGTCAGAGCTTATCTTTGCTGTCACCTGTTCCACTGTTTTAGCCCGCTTTTATTTTCAGCTGTTTAAAAGACCCAGGTTAACTACCTGGGTGTATATGGCTCAGCAGGTGGAGGGGGGATGTAAAGGTCCTGGAGGGCGGAGTTCTTGGTGGGTGTGCCTGAAGGCGTGGCTGAACTGCTGCCTGGGCTTCTGGTCGGCTGCAAAAAGTAAGGAAGGAAGTAGGGTTTGATTTGTCTTTTTTTTCTGGAATCTAAAAACCTTTTGCTTCAAGTTCAACTTCTGACAAAAAAAATATGTCATAATTATGTCCTAAATATAATTCTAATGTTGAATGGTTTGACAACTTTGAGAAATTGAACCCAAGAAACAACAACAGCAAACCCATGACACAATACAGTAATGAAGCCATTGTAATTGTCTTTAAATAATCCCTTTTAAGCTTAAGTTATAGCTGAAAACTAGTACAGCTTTAAATAAAATGAGAAAATTTGGACAAATCTCTAAATGGAAGAGATGTAGCTGAAAACCAGAATTGAATGGGCCTGATCTCCAGGCCCTCAAGAGGAACTGGATTACAAACAGACTCTGAAGTGAAAATCACTGCATGAGCTCATTAACACTGGTGAATTCATAGCTCATTAGCGCACACTGCCTTGCTGTGAAGGCCCCATTAATGCTGAACAACATAGGCAGGCTTTAGGGAAATGCATAGAGCCATCAGTCCTTTTCTTTCTTTCTTTATTTGCCAGAAAAGGGCTTGTTTATTACAACAAGCCACTGCAAAACAACATTTCGTATGTATTTTCATGGCTAGCATTGCTATGTAAAGAATAATCCCTACATTATCCTTTTGAATCCTGGCCTCAAGCAATGATTACCCTGGAAAATTTACAATTTAAAAGCATTTACTTATTAAAAGTACTATTTGTATAACTAATATTGTTTGGCCAAATGATCAGAAAGTCCGCCACGATCAGAGGATAAGAGAGGTTGAACATGGTGAAATGTCACTAAGCTACAGGTGGATTGAGATGTTTTGTCATCACGAGTGAAAATACTAGTAAAGGTACTGAACTCTGATTAAAGTCAGTGTAGTGTTTATGTTTCATTTTTTTAATCTGTCTGACTCTCTAAAATTGTTAACACATTGACCGCAAACAGCGTACCAACTGTGACACCACCCACTGGTGCGCCTGCTCTAAAGCAAGACTTGCTTTATCCATCTTCTTGACACTAACGGGACTCATAATTTAAAAAAATGAACATTCTGGTATTTAATATAACTAGAAACTGGGGGTTAACACTATAAACTTATCAGGAAGGTGTTTGTCGAGATTATGAATCATTTTAATAAATTTATTTGTAAAGTGCCAAATCACAACAGCAGTCACATCAAGGTGCTTCATGTAATAAAGTAAAGATCCTACTATGATACAGAGAAAAGCGTAAAAATCAAGTCTGCTAATTTGTTTTTCCATCGACATCGAAAGAATGCAGCCTTGGTGCTTCAGTTTGGAAGCAGCATCCATCTTTTCTGTACAGTCTATGTATAAAACACTTGATCTGTTAGTCTTTGCATTTAAAAATAAATTATCTCTTATTCTTTAGGAAAATATCATCATTGGCAGTTATTGGAGGCATGTTTAGTGAAATAGGATAGATGGATGCAGATCTAGTTCAGGTTTGGAAATGTGAGCTTTTTGATCAATTGTGAACTATGAGCTACTTCATTTTATTCTGCGTGAACTAATCTTTGAACTAGCTCATGTGAACCTGCACGTCACTGGCGTTTGTTGGATTTGGTACTGGAATTGGCCTGCGCAGAACTTCATTGGGGGGTAATCAGGGACAGGAATCGACCTGCATATTTCTTCAACTATTGTGAAAACTCCATAAGCTTCCATTAAGACTGAAAGAGATATTGCAAGGAGGGACTACATACCATTTAGGACAAAATAAAACAAAATCGATATCCCTTCCTATAAGTGCAAAGCGAGCACAGTGGCAGCTCAGTGTGGTTATTATCTTTTTTTACCTCCATAAAAAATGATCATCGTGTCCCCAGGGCTTAGAGCGTACTGTGTTATAATATCCAATTGCAACTATAGCCAAACTACAAAAATAAGAACAAAGTTGTGTTCTTCTCCTTTGTGTTTTCCCCCTTTGTCTAGATAATCAGTGATAATTATAGTGCCATACTCTAAAATCATAAGAGATTTGGGAACGTGGCTTGAGGGCACCATCAGTTTTCGTTTCCCTTTCAGTCCAGTGTGTTTCAGCTGGCAAACAAAACCATGCTGAGCCACTGCTCCCTGACCTAATTACACGCTTTAGCTCCAGTCGTTCGGGAGAGGGAATGCTGTGGGGAATTATGTGGGCCAGTGCAGTGCTTTAATAAAGTCTATAAAAGGTAGAGCTAGTCCCACCTGCAAAGCCAGGGGTTTCCAGCGCATGTTCTTCAGCAGCGCAGGGGCAGAGCTGAGCGTGCTCTGTGGACGCTTCTTCAGGGTCAGGGACACGATGCCTTTATCGGCCCGCAGCGAGCCGACCAGGTTACGTAACTGCCAGCCCACCTGTGAACGAGAGAGGACGGAGAATTAGAGAGTAAAGTTATCTGCAGAAAAACTAGAAATCCTCTATATACAGAACAAAACAATCACACCCTTATTTATACAGTAAGTAGCCTTTATGTGCAGCCTGAAGTTTGAATTCTGTCCATGTCGTGATTGGATCTCTCTTGTTGAGCCTTCTGTGCAAGGCAAGTGGGTGTGGAGGTGGAAAGTCTATCTATAGAGCTTTCATGTGATGTAACCTGCCCTCAATTTGAAAACAAATACATGTGATCACAAATCGTTTTGTTTTTCGGTTATTTTTATTTGTATTTACCCACTATATTTACAAACCCACACCAACGCTCTTTTGTGAACATAAACACACAAGGGTAAACAACAGTAAACACGGCAACAGGAAAGTTGGGCTAGCTTCCCCTCACTGCAGCTATTGAACCGACCTGAGATCTGATCATAATGCAGGAGGAGTTGTAAAGGTTAGAGGATCTGATTACACTAATTGGAATGCACGCTGCTTGCATTTGCAACTGCTATGCGAAGTACACGGTCCACAGTACAAATGCAAGGAGTGCCACTAAATCACCAAACACCAAGCAGGAACTTGGTTTAAGTAGCTAATAAAATTAATTCCTGCTTATACTGGTCATTTTATCAATCATTAGACAGAAAATTAATCTTCATGTGACTCTTTTCTGACGACACTGAAAAACTTATCAGTAGCAAGCAGGGATGCTTGCTACTGATAAGCAACATGGCGATTATTTTTTTTCTAATAATCAAATAATTTAAACCCTCATTTTAACACTCAACAGCCTGTCCATCTTTCAAACTCCTGAGATGCTTAGTTCATATTCAGCAGCTAGCAGCTAACTTAATCTGTCTGAGGTTTGTTGCAAAGCAATAGGGTATATCTATTTGAGCTTTTTTTCTTGGTCCTTACCAAAACAGCAGATTTTTGTAAGAACAAAAAACACTGAGGTGAGAAATGCAAGAATTCTATATATCTCATCCAGAGCTGATCATCTGACCATCAGCTGTTAATTTCTCATGACACATGAGCATCACATTATCTCTTTTGTGTTATTTCGTCCAATTGTATTACATAAATACTATCTCAGCAGCTTCAAAGGTTTATTTATTGTCAGGGTCCAGTGTAAGGAGTGAGGACCCACTTAGCCAAGTCCAAAAACCAAAAAGAAAACTTATTAAAATCTAATAAGAGCATTCAGAGAGTGCAATTATTCCAACAGGCTTTCATGAGCAACGTGCTGTCTGATCTTTGACCTATAACCTGACCTATGTTGAGCCAAGCTATGTACTCACATCCCACAAGGCCTAGTATATTGTTGTGAAGTTTGAAGGCGATCCCGCTTTTCTTAAAATTTATTTCAAATCATGAAAGCGGTCTCTTTTCTTGAAATTTTTAGTGTTTAGTTTTAGTTTTTTTTTTGGAACCATCTTAAAATTAGATTATCTAGAGAACTACTTGTGCTAAATCTTTTTTTAGGGTCAAATTAGTGTCAATTTTGTCATACAGCGTCATTTGCAATAGTGTCAATGATAAGCCTAAAAAAGCCACAGCACACAGACAAGAGAGGGGGGTGAAAACAGGGAAACAGTGGGGAGACTAGAATTTCAGTAAAATCAAAACAGCACCCAAAATGTAATAATATCACAAGAACCAAAAGTTAGCATGACATCAGAAAAAAATCCAATTCTATCATTGTTTTAAATCAGTTTTTGTAGATACAAAGAATCAAATAAGATTTAATGGTTTACTGAGTAAACACAAAAAACTGGGCACTCAGTAAGAGAACACACACCCACAAACACACCAACAAAAACTCACCACGGTCTGATGATTGACTTGAATGACTTCATCTCCTGCATGGATCTTCTTACAGCGGTCAGCCGGAGACTACAGAGGCACAGGAGCCAGAGAAAGAGAAGGCAAACAGACGACTATGAATTGATCTATCGATCCATGGGCACTGCTGAGGGGAGGTTTCTCAGCAAACCCTACTTAAATAAGCTGCAATAAAGCAACAAGGGAAAGTCTTCCAGAGTCACTGAAATTCTGATGTTATAAATACAAATTTCAGATTTGCAGATAATCTGACCAATAACTTGTGTTTTAGGGGAAGTCTGCAGTTCACTAGGTCAATTTGTGAAAAGTGGGATATTAATAAACCTCTCACCCCTTCTGTAGTTCCTGTGATAACATGGAGTCCGTCGTAGGTTGACTTTATGTACATTCCCTAATTGACAAAGGAATGGAGAAAAAATGTAAGTGCTCTATGATACTAGTAAATATTTGGAAATACACACTGATTTATGAGTTGTAAAATTAAAAACAGCTCTCACAGAAACAGAAAGTTCATTCTGGTTTTGTCCTGCTACAAAAAAAAAAAAAAAATCAAGCATCTGAGCCCAAACCAGATGGGAAGGTGTGTCGCAGCAGGATGCCGTAGTAGCCGTGGTGGATAAGAGCGTGTCCTTGAATTCTGAATTAATCTCCAACGGCGTTGCCAGCAAAGCTCCCCACACGCGTTCACTGCTACACCTCCATGCATCACAGTGGAAAACTATATGCAGATATTCTCCCTTTATGTGCCTCAAAAATATGAGACTATACTCCAGATTTCCACTGATATTATTTCCATTCTTTGTGTTTCCAGACCGAGCAGGAACACATAATGCACACCCACAGTATGCGTCTCTGCTTTCTTGCTGGGAATATGATACAAAGATCTATACTAGTAACTACACTTATGGTTCCCTTCAGTTATGGTTTCTTTCTAAGACTGAGATGTTTGAACCCGAGGAAGTATTGATGTGGGCAGTAATAAGGTGCCATTAACTAGCGATTTCTGAGGCTGGTAACTCTGAAGAACTTCCCCTTTCTTTCCTGGAGTGGTGCCAATTGGATCATATTGTTTAACAATTTTTGTGACTTGAAACTTGCACTTTAAACTTTCAAAGTTTCAAAACGTTCTGGTCTGACTGATCTTTATGTCTTAGAGTAAAGATTTTTACCCACTTTGAAGTTGAATATGACAGATTTAATGCATACCAACAGTACGTCTTCAGGCAGTAAATTATGATCTCATAAAGAAAAAAAAGGTTTCACCTGTTAACTTCTGACGAGGTCTACTTGTGAAGTGAAAACTATTCCAGGTAAAGAACTCATTAGGCTGGTTAAGATATTATCAATAATCTAAATTAAATCTGATTTATAGTTTGGTGATTTCTGTTATGTTCTACTCTAGAGGAAAATGTTAAAAATTTAAATAAATTAAACCAAAGCCAAAAGCCAAAGTTCCCCCTTTGCTAGGCTACACTCCACTGTGACCACTCACAGCTGAGACAAATCATTTTCTCCAAAGTGAACGGTTAAATTGTTAAACCTGAAAATAACAGGAAGGTGGAACAGCACTTTGACTGATCAATCATTAACACTCATTGATCTGCCAAAAAATTACTGATATGACTAGAAAATATGGTAACATGGAAACCTAACCTCCACATTATCTACAACTAGCATGAGATAAGCTAACAAGTTTTGTCATGCTAGCTAAGCTAACTGCAGGTTTGTAGTTTTTCAGTGACCATCGCAGTCATGGCCAACAGTTTTGGCAATTACAAAAAATATTTTTTGTCACTTCAGTATTTATGGAGAATGTTTGTTCTATATTTTTCAATAATGTAGTGCATATCATATACATTCAGTTCAAAGTTTGTTAAAGACTTTTATATGCAAATAAACCAAACACACACAAAGAGCCAGTATTTACAGAGTTGACTCTTCTTCATAACTGTATCTGCAGTTCTCTGCAGCATACTGGATATTAGCTTCTGGACCAAATCCTGACTGATGACGAGCTATTCCAGCCTGATCAGTGCCCCAAGTTGATCACACTTTTTGGACTTCAGCTTGTACGCTCACTTTTTAAGGACAAACTGTAGATTTTTGATTGAATTAAGATCCAAAGAAATGTTAAATTTCATGATCTCTAAGCCACTTTAATGGAAAATGGACAGATCATTCCCAAATTGCCCCTGGATCGCTGGAAGATGATCTTTAAGAATGTTTTCAGTATGATCAATGGAAACATAGTTTGGAAACTGATGAAATGCTTAGGATTGTTCACTATATCACAGAAACATGTAAAAATATTGTAGCAAAAATGAAAAACTCAGTGTTGTATACCAAGCAGGTGTTAGTTTCAACTGAATCCAAAAGCATAAAATAGCTTGTTTAATTGTTGAACTAGAAATGACTCATTTGTGGCTCTTTACTCTCAAGTATGATGGAAGGTCTGTCATGCATGCAAGCATATGTGTTATATCAAATCAATTAATATTTTGAGTAGTTCATAGTAATTGCTTTCGTTTTTCAAAAATTAAACACAAAATCCTGTTTTACTGTGTATGTTATTTCTACAAAAAAAGAAAGAAAGAAAAGAAAAGAAAACAATGCTTGTATTTCTTCTTTGTCTGAGCCTACAAAGGCCGGACACAGCATGACTTAACACAATAAGATTCACACGCTGTATGTATAAACAGAAGGGTGGATCTTGGGCTGTTAAACCCAGACAAACAGAGTGATTACCAGGCCTTCAGAGGGCTTGATGTTGGTGAGGTGAACCAGCTCGAGGTGGGCTGACTGCGAAACCAGCGGGTCCGATGACACACACACAATGTGTTCGCACACCTCCGACAGAGTCTTACACTACAGAAAAGGAGGATAAAACAGGGACAAACGGAGCTTTTATTTAGACAACAAAGAACAAACCATGTCTTCTAGCTGTCACAATTAGACTATATTTCTAAGAAACCTTTTAGCCTAGTGCCTCAGCAGCTTCTCCTGCTGTTGCTTTTTCTATTGCAACTTTACCCAGGAAAAGAAACAGGTGGATATTTTTGCAGATCTGCTCCAAACCAAGTGAGGATGATTTGTTGCATATGCATTTTCTTTTGCTATTTACTTATTTACGTTATTTAGCTTATTTTCTTTCTGTTTTGTGAAAATTGGACAAAACTTTGAGCAATGCAGGCACAAAAAGACCAAGAGCCATGGTATCTTTGTTCATGTGCTTGCCTGCTTGCAGAAGATAAGTAAACCTAAAAAAATAGACTTATTTATTTTACCCCTGTGCAATACGTCCCTGCAGTGCTCCAGTGGCCTTCTGATTTTGAGTCTGATTAAGGTTTGATTTTGGGCAAAGAGCCACTACAAGGTTGGTTCACATTAATCACAAAGATAGCTTTGGCTTTACTTTCCAGATATCTGTGAAATAATTGTCTCCAACCAAATATAATGGGGATTATTTTGCTGCCCACAACACTGAAAAATTGCATCTTAACAAACTTTAAGAGCAACATTTTTTTTCCTGGCAGACACAATGAGACTCCATTCAAAATGTTGTCAATAGTTTCAGACATGATTTCCCTAAAAAAAGAAAGTAGCTGCAAGAAAAAGCGCTGAGCGGATGTTTTGGATAATATCTGGCAGAGACTCCCAAACATTTTCACGAACATTTATAAAAGAAACCCCAGACGGTGAACTCTTGGTAGGCATCATATTATGGATTTTCACTCCCCAAGAATCTGATCTGTAAAAAAAACGAGTGTCCATCTTATACTTTGTGTGTCATTTTGCTGCGTTAATCTAACTGAGGGCAGCCATGCTGGCAGCAGAGTACTCTTTATTATGTCTAAATGAATCAGACTCATCGGTCTTCCTCACAGCCGACATGTCAATTTGTCATAACAGGGAAAGCCCGGGTGAACCTAATAGCACTAACAATGGCTCTGTTCCAGCAATTAGCAAAGCAGAGTTTGACAAATCAGAAGTGTGCTGTGAAAAGGGTCAATTAAACTTTAGCTGCCATCCAATCTTGGGACATGCTGATCTACAGTAATTGGGGTGCTTTGCAGATACTGAATGCTGCTGACGTTTTCAAATATAATTAATGTAATTTTTAAATATCTGAGCAAGGCAAACAAAATTTTAGAACCAAAGCCCAAGGTGGGACAAGTATACCCAACAGCAACTGCAAAGAAAGATAGAAGAAAGTAATTTGGTAATGAAGCAGTAAAACCTTAACAGTAGGTGAATTACATGATTCCCACAGGCACTGATTCTTCAAGGTGCTGGAAACATCTGCAGAAACTTGAATGTCCTCACAAAAACTACCATCACCGGTCTGAACCACTGATACAAGACAGAATGAATCCATACTTTGATTATGTTCATGCCAAATTATGACCCTAACATTCGAATGCTGCAGCATAATCAAGACTCATCAGGTCAGGCAACATCTGTCGCCCATACTCTCATTTGTACTCAGTGAGCATACAGCTGGCTTTGGCTGAGGTGGTAGAATGGGTTGTTTGCCAATCAAAAGGTCGGTGGATTGATCCTGAACTTCTCCACTACATGGGCAGGATACTGAACCATGATTTGGCCCCAATCCATCTAGGTGTGGTGTGTGTATAATAGCTGTATAATAACTACATGAATAAGCAGTTATAAATGTACCTAATATGTGTATGTGTGTTTAGAGTTTGAAAAGAATCTCTAATACTGTAGTTAAATTCAGTATCAACATCAAAACAATCAATTGAGCTCATTCAGAGTATTAGATTCAGAAAGAGTAGATCATTTCAATTTCTCTAATTATGTGACTCCAAAGCTCACAGTATATTTACAGTTGGACTTGAGTCAGAACAGTGTTATTTTCATTCTGCCAGTGTCGTGTAAATGCAGTATTAAGGATGAAGCTGAAGCCAGGAGGCAGCTGGCAGCTTGACTGAACTAAAGCTCAACTAAGCCTTGTTCTTCCCACAAAAATACAACAAGCTGTACTTCTGAAACATACGAATCAACTTTAAATAACAAAACATTAAATTGCTTTAAATTAAACAGGAGATTTTTTTTTCTTCCATCACATTTTTTTTGTTACTACTTTAGTCACTTCAAGTCTTCAGTTTTTCATTTTACATATTTTACATGTTGGGTAAAACAATATATTAAGATTCTCGTAAGAACTATTAGTTAAGGTTATTTAACATTTAGCATTGTGCAATAATACAGGACCTGTTTGAGGCTTGGTTTTACTCTCAAATTTAGAATTAGGTTTAAATGAGAGTCGGTACGAAGGTTAAGTACTTAGCTGTGATGGTCAAACTTTGGATAAAATGACTGAATATGAATTAATGTCAATAAATATCTTCACCAAAATATGTGTATGTGTGCCCCTCCCTCTACATACAGTGTGGAGCAGGCATCCGCCACTGCAGGAGAAATTCTGGTAACATAACTGTGTTCAGCTAAAGTAATGGGAACCACTAATCTAACCATCCTCAGATTTAGCATTGCACCAATTCATGTCCGTAAAATATACCCAAAAAGTAGGAAGTAAATTGGAAAGACAGTTTTTGAAATGAGAGGAGGGACATACAAACCAAAATGCAAATATTTAGGTGTTTTTAATTATGTTTTGCCGGTTGTCTGCCTGGATTAGTTCACAAGTTATGCTTCATTAACTAAAGTCTTAGAGTATAGCAGTAGTCACTTAAAATGTATTTGTGTATTCGCTTCCTGAAATCAAGACATGTGAACTTGATGGGGGAAAAAAATTGAAATGACATCCAGTGAACAACATGACATAACAATCTCTGGAAGCCACATCAGCCAGTTGAGGGCTGGATTCAAACTTGCACCAAAAATTTAAGGTGTTCAGGTGTGCTCTTGGTTTTATTGAGCAGTAGATGTATAAAAAGAGGTTTACAAATGGGCAATTTCTTTTAAACAGTAGGTTTAAATTAAATTTTAGCAATCAAAACCTAGATAAAGCTTTCTATGGCAATGGAGTGTTTTTTAGGTTAAACATGACCATTGTCATAAGACTAAAGGAGCTTTAACTTTAAAAGCTCCTTAATCACTAATTTAAGACTAGTGCCTTAAATGTGGAAAAATGAACTTGGTTATGTAAGTATTCTGTGGCGACAGTCACACAGGAGGTTACTGTTTCAGGTGATGTTAATATTCTTTTGAACATTTTACAGAGATTCACTAGCAGTTTCCTACTGTTTCAAATCTTTACACTTGGCTAAGCTGACAGTCCAGGCTATAGCTCCATAAAAGAAAAAAAAAGTGATGTTGCTGATTGTCTCTGGCAGGGAGTTTGTGAAGCATTTGCTTCTGTGTTTGTGTGTGTGTTTTATCAGCAGTTATGAGGGGGATGTGGAAAGAAAAAAAAGAAAAACAGGATGCTGCCCATCAACACAAAGTAAATAAGCGACAGCTGGCCGAGGAAGCAGAACTCACCACATGAAGGATTTTGTTCTCCGTCTCAAACACCGTACAGTCCTACGGGACGAGAGAAATTTAATGTAGCGCAAGCAGTACATCCTGTCTTGCAAACACTCACCATCTCATGCTGCACATGCTGCTACACTACCTCCGTATACAGTCTAGGGCTCACATTACTGTACCCCTACCCCTGACAAATAAAAACACGCCCACACAAACAGACACACTTATCTTTTATTTATATACACACACCAGTCATACATAAGACAGACTGTAAAGGACATAAATAGCAAAGAATTGACTCTCGCTCAAGGATGCAGAGGCTGAGGCTGCTGCATCACACCCACACAGACACACCGCTCTTTGGGGATATGGCACAGCAGCTACCCTCTGCCGCACACTTCAAGTGGCGGGGAATAAGAGCTATAAGCCTTCAAAACACACACACAAACAATTCCACACACCTGCTGTACAATGGTGGTGAGCTCCAGGCAGAGCTGAATGACATTATTTCGGGTTACTGAGTAGTCTGCCACTGCAGCAAAGGGAGACCTGGGGGGGAAAGATAACACAGCAGTATGTCTTATAATGTTCCTGCAGCATTAGATGATGTGCAGAGGAGATGGACAGGAGCATTGTTACGGGGAGGGGAGGGAGACACGCCACAAACTAGACTCAAACACAGACACGCATGTAAGAATCCCTTTAATTAGTGAGAGAGAGGGAGTTACTTTAAAACACAATGGTAAATGAATCTGTGCACTCGGTGAACATAAAGCACAACCAAAAATCTGTGAGGCTCGAGCTGCAGCTAATCGCAGTTAAATTCATTATTGACTAATTACTCAATTATTATT